CTCAACAGGCTTATAACCTCTCTTCAGTCATTAAGTGAATCACTGCAGGTTGTTAAGTGAGATGTCACATGATCACGTCTTGTACTTTCACTGCCGGATTACTGCCAATTGTGAAGTGCACAGATGGTAATTGTGGGACACTGAAATGCTCCTAAAAGTGAGGTTTGATTGTAAAGTTACTTTTTCAGTGCCATGATAACTTCAATGCATCTTTTATATAGTGCATATTATAAATGTGGCAAGTCTTGGATCTATAGCTGCAAATGTTGATAGGCACCTAACAGTGTTGGCATTCTCTAATCACAAGAAAAGCCACCAGTCAATTCGTTACATTTATTTATGTATTCATTGTATTTAAGTTTTCCTAAAGATGCCAGGCTTCTCCATTTATGATCCATTCTGTCCATAGGACAAATCTGTGAAATCAGTTATACTGAGCAAAGGCACTGGGTCAGTCTGTCAGCAGTAAAAGCTGAATTGTTAATGTTAAGTGTCACAGAATCTCTGCTTTTGTGTTCGATTATAGTTATGTAAAAAGCCAAGATGATATGTTGCTGCTTCTATTTAGTATGCAAATGTAAGCCGAAGAGTCAATCTGAATTGCAAATTTTTAATTTATGCTAATAGGTATTTATATTTAAATCTTGGATTAAGGTAGGTTTCCATCCCATTATATATCCTGAGATCCTATTAGTATTAATAGAAGTCATGCAGACGTGGTCGGTTGACAACACAGCTGTTTCAAATGGCCAGGTTCTTTCCATTTACGTGGGATTTTGGTGACAAGACAAATCACTAGTGATTTCATGCATCAAATGGCTATGTGCCAAATCATTAGTATGTTAATAATCTTCCTGTGTTATCTGGTTGCAGTCTGCAGTTCCTGTTTTCACAAGAAAGAGAGTGCTGAATTTGCATTACCTTAGTGTTTTGGGAAATGTGCTTATAAGGTTTCTGCAAATCCATATTAAAGAAAAAAAAAATTCCCTATAGAAATCCACATTAAAGCACTGGACTCTACCAATAAAGAACTAATTAATATACTGCATTAAGTGTGGTTTGTTGAGCAAGCCATTATGGTCTAGTTCACATATACCTAAGCCATATATTGGGGTTTGCAATTCATCAAGTTAAATCCTTACATGAAGGCAGAGTATTTGATTTGGTTTAGCTTATATGAATCCAGTTTATATTTTGTGAACTATGGCTTATAGCTGAATGTTGTATTAATCTAACCATTGTGTTGATGCTCTTCATTCTGTTATTTTCAACTCGTTTCTTAACCCAGTGGTTCCCAACCTCTGGCCGTGGTCCACTGGGGGGTGGGGGGGGACGGCACAAATTTCTCCACAGGGGATCTGCAAAGGATGGAAGAAATGTTATGATTTAAATCTTGAGTTAAGTCTGGGGTGTGTGTGTCCATGGCCATGGTCCATGACTACAAAAAGTATTTAAGGGGCGGCCTTTAATGAAGAAAAGGTTGAGAACAACTGCCCTAACCTGTAAAGAATTTTGAAAGTTGTTTGCCTTCTGCATGATCAGCTGTTGACCCAGTTTTGTATGATTGTGAGATTTTATAAGAATTCCTATACTTTTTATCCAATCTTTTACAAAGAAATTAAAGAGCATTGGATCCATGTCTGAACCTTTTGATAGTTAATGCTCAAGGAAGTGTTAATGCTCAAAATGCCTTTTCAAACATTTTGTTGAAATCAAAATATATTTGTCCACAGGATTCCCAGTCTACTGAGAAAGCTATATGAGATCTCTCTCTCTCTCTGTCTCTCCCTCCCTCCCCTCTCTCTTATCTACCTACCTACCTTCGAGTCAGTATTAACTATTAGCTCCTGAAGAACTCTTTGCAGTTTTCTTGGCAAGATTTTGGAAATGGTTTACCATTGCTTGCTTCCTAGGGGAGGGAGAAAGGGATTGAAATTGAGATTAAGATAGACAAAACGAATTCTTGGCAAATGTATGATGGACTCTAATTATCATCGCAATGTTTACTGACCCCAAGACGCTAATAAAGCTCTTACATTATTATCCGCTCTAGAATTTTCCAAAAAAACTGATTAAAGATCAAGTGCTCTATTTCTGGGATCCCATTTATAAAATAAGGACATCATTTGCCTCTTCCAGGTATAAGATATTTTACCCATTTGCCAGGATTTTTCAGAGGTACTGTAAAGGATACAGGTTTGGCCAGAGTTTCTTAATTACCTAGCATGCAGAAATCTCTCTGACCATGTATACACAATATAGAAATCTTAGGTGGTAGAATTGTTTTGCTTGTCTCCACAGAGTTAAACTGTTTTCATTATTATAAAACTAATAATAGTATTTAAATGCAGTTTTCTGGATTTAGCTGACCTTTTTGAAGAAAACAAATATTTGTCTCATAAGCTTAAAAAAACACCTGTAAATATTCTACCAGTAGCAAAATGAACTTAAAACAAAACAAAACTGTTTTGTTAATAACACTTAAAAGTTTTCCATTAAATAAGTTATTTACTCTAAGCTCATATATATGTGGATTATGAACACTGATAGGGCTAATTGCTCACTATTTTTATTTATAAAAGCACAAATAGTTTCCAAAAATGTCAGTAAGACACTTTTTAGATTGAGCAGAATAGTCTAAAGACCATTCTGAAATAAAATAATAGCATTCTTTTTTTCTTTTTTCTTTTTTTGAGCATTATACTAATTATAATTTGGTAGAACTCTTCTAAACATTATTAGTTGGATAAAGTCCCAACAGTTTCTCTCTCTACCATACTATTCTGTGCTCATACCATATAATCTGAATTAGCATGAGTCTGTGCTATGTAAAGGAAGTTAAAATGCTTCTGTTGCCTCTCGATAATTCCTTTTTATGTCTTGCAAATGTGGCTAAAAGGCCTATAATAGAAATATTTTTTATTTCTTGCTATCCATGTAGCCAATTTTCCTCCATTCTTGAGCTTGATCTCTACTCCTTAATACCATAAAAAAAGAATCACTATATTGTTGCCATTGTTCAGGGCATGAAGATAACGTTCATTCCAATATTATGTAGTACACAGAGGATAACATTTAAATCAGCAGTGCTGCAGAGTATGAAAATGTCAGATTGCCCGTTGTACCATATAATTACTTTAAGCCGAAACAGGATTCTCTTTTGTGTAGAAGCTTCCTAGTAAAGAAATTGGCGCTGTGAACTGTGAGTCAGTCTGGAGTCAGACACTGCCTAAATTGAATAAATAAAATAAAGTGAGTTAATAAAAAAGATAGTCTTTAAAAAGCCTTCTTCAACTTGATAGTTTTCATGGCTGGGTTACCTTGGGATACCCAGAGAATTGTAGAAATTCAGGAGACATGATGTTGGAAACTCTGGAATTTATCCATTGTTTTTAAGAGAAGGTAATTTTTATTCCATAGAGTATTTTTTCTTTTTAATTCTTTTTCCTGCATTAATTAAATAATTGAATCTATAAAACCAGGCATATTATTTTGTCTTAAGAAGTAGTCTTTTAAATCACTTCAAAAGACTAAACATTAATATATATTTTGATGTCACCACTATTAGTTATCATTATCTAAAATAAATGCCCATGACCTTATACAAAGAAAGAAAAAAATGAACAATGAATATGGAAAACTGCAAAAACAATATTAAGTTCTAGATCCCTTCCCATTATATCTGACTCCTGATTACATCAAATTATTCATAAAGTTTAAAAATACTTCTGGTTCCTGTTTTTACCTCCAGATATTTTTCTCTTAAAATCTGTATTCTTCACTATCCAAGTTTGCCCTGTTGTGTGACGCATAATACATAGGGAAACTATTCTTCTTAAATTTATTAATTCTTATCCTTTTGCTCGTTTTTAGGACTATTAAATGTAATTCAGATTAATACATTTCCTTTCACATATACGCGTGCCTACACACTTATTTGTATTTATATTGGAAAGTATTATAACCTCAGATACTTGGATATTATAGTGGCAGGCAGGACCCGACATGCAAAAAGCTCAGTATAAAAGCTGTGTACTCCAAGGTCTTAATTCTTCACTTCCTAAACATAGTTACATGGTTATATAAGAACTTTTTTGCAGCAGTAACCTACAAGGAGTCGGAAATCTGTTTGAACTGTTTGTCCCTGAAGTCTCCCCCCCCCCTTACACCCATTCTACCAGTGTTCCACTTTTCTCTAGTTTTTGGCACACTGCTCAGAACACTATTTCCTCCTTTTCAACCTGGTGAAGTCCAATTGTTCTTTGCTTACACTACATCAGCTTTTCCCAGAATTTAGCCTGGAAACTTGAATCCACTAGGGAATCCCCAGTGTGTTTAGATTATAAAACAGCTTCCTAAAAGCGTCTTGATTGGGCAGCATCCTTAGATAATGCTGTCATACTTGATTTTCAACAAACAGCCCCTTCCCCATAATGTTTTCAAGCAGAGTGTTCTACAAACATTGATGTGTGCGTAATAACTCTTCCTGACGTCTTTTGATTGATCCTGAATTCATCATTCTTGAAATGAGCAGGCTGAGCCTTCTTGCCTTATAAATAAATAAAAAAAAAAGGTGGGGGTTAGGAAGAAGACTGAAGCTGAAGTAGGGTGGTTTGCTTGGGAGCTCCATGAAACACAACTAAAATACCTTTTACTTTTGAAATGCTTGTATGAACCATATTCAAAATTAAATGCAGAATCACTATGTATTTTCAGCAATTATGCGTGGAGTCTGCAATTTAATGTCAAGGGAAAGATTTGGATTTCAAATATTTAAGCTCATCTCTGCTATTCGCCATTGCCTTTTGCATTTTAGTTCCCAATTTTAAAATGTAACGTTGGCTTTGGTCATTTGAAGAAAAGTGGTCAAGTTGGAACATCTGTCTTTTAAGTTCAACATCCCTTGGGGTGTATCAGAAGGTTAAATGTCTTTCTGTTTTGTTTTGGAAAGCCACAGAAAATTGCTACACATGTGTAGTTCCTTTTCTGTTTTCATTAAGGTATATGCAAGTCAATCGGAGTAAGCAACTTTTTAATTGAACACTTGGAGCAGCTGAGGGAGGACTGTCAGATAACTCCACATGTAAATCAGGTGAGTATGTTATACATAGTGCTGTATATAGCTTTGACCAGCAAATGAATGACTTAATGAGATAGAGATTCACAACAACATTCACACTCCATTCAAAAGAGATAATTAAAAGCTAAAAGGGAAACAAAAAGACCAAAACATTTCCTCGCCAGCAATCAAACCCCAGATAAGCAGAGATTAACACCAATATTAATACCAGACCAACAAGCAGTAAACAGTATCCCAACAAGGACCTACTAACTCAGACAAACAATCAAACAAATTATAAACAGTAGCCTAATCAGGAAACTATCAAGAAGAAAACAACACTGACAGGGCAAGGCATTTTTATATAAACAGAGAGCAAATCCCACTCCCTTGTAGCATTCATGATGCTATCTAGTTGGGTAATGAAATGTCTGCAAGTAAACAATAAAATTCAGAGAGCACCAAGTACACCACCGTTCAATCCTGAACTATAAATATTCTCTTCTATTGGTACATTAATGACTCTCTGAAATGAGGATGCAGAACAGAATCCTATCCTCTCCTATTTGGATTGATGGCTAAAGTGATATTTTTAAAATACATCTGATTTTTCTGTGTGTTTTATTAGATGATTTTGCCAGGAGATTTATAAATCTATATTTTAGGTCAGCTTTAACTAATAAGAATGAAGCCTTTTAGCATATTTTTTATGCATCGTTCCTTTTATTTACATTTGGATGCTCTGGATATTTGAAAACTATCTTTTTTCTTCTTTGCTTCTTTCTCTCTACTGTTTAATGATTGCAATAAAGTCATTTGATTTGATTTATTGGATGAGCCTAAATGGAAAATTATTGCAAAATGTTTCTCCTTTTCGTTAGTTAGTCATAAGGGGGAAAAAAACCACATTCATAATAATCTGATACTCAAGAACTTCTATGAAAAATAATAACAGTAAGAAAATGGGAAAAAATAACAGTCTCCTTTTTTAATAATTCAAGTAACTTTATAAACTACTATAGTGTGAGTATAGTTTGATTTTTTCCTTAGAGTTCAGATCTTCCAATAGGCAGATAATGTTTGGATTGACCTTTTCTTTCCCACTGATTTTCTGTCCCATAAATCTCCAGCGATCACTATGAAATGAAAAGGTAGACCAGGATGTTCTGCCTCTTCCCTCTGCCTCAAAACACTCCAGTGAAACTACTGGAAATGGTCTCCGTTGTAGTCGTTTTGGGTGGAAGAAGATGAGCAAATGAATGTTTCTGTACGGTGTCTCTGTAACTGTAAGCGTGTGGTGGAGAAGGCCACAGAGAGGTCAAGAAACTTCAAAGGTTGAAGAAATGGATGTGTCTGCTGCTTGAACTTTGATTCCCATCCAAGCAGTCATTTTTGATCACAGTAGGTTGAAGCTAACCAAGCCTAGCCCTGGAGTGCCTGCGTTTCTCAGAGCCACTATTGAGCATATGCCAGCCTATTGTTTCTGGCTATTGTTGCCTGAATAGACAACATGTCCTAAAGATGAGAAACAGGAAACAGCCTTTCATCCTACTCAGGGTGGATGAAAATTTCCATATTCCTCGTGCTGATGTCATTTGTGCCAAACTGTAATACTCTTGCTGCTGTTGCTGCTGCTTCATCATAAAAATACATAGATATTTAGGTCAGTGGAAGAACTTTGATGGCAGTTTGGGATTGCTCTCTATGAACTGGCTTTGTCACAGAATTTCTACTGTCTTTTGCACGTGTTGGGGAAATAGCTCTTTCTGTACAGGGATTGTTTTTTCAATCTTCTGTGTTAAAATTTCAGGGAGAGGTAACACCAGGACAATTCACATGTTTGAAGGTTTTACCACAGTTATTCCTTTGGGCATTTTATCATTAAATTCATGTTCATCATGCATTTATTCATATTTATTTTGCCCATTTCTCTGGTCTTCTATCAACTGAGCTCATATTTTCCTTGGATCACTTTCCAGGTTGAATACAATTTTAAGAATCAAGAAGCTTTTCAGTGACTCCTTAAACTACTAAGATATTATAAACACAGAAAAACACAAATATAGTATTCCTTGTCGAAAAAAGTCAAGCTGTATATTAAATTTGTTATTAAAAAATACCCACTTTTTCTTGGCCTATGATATGATATTTCTTAAACATTTCTCCATTCCAATACTGCCCACAAAATGTGTCATATTTCTCTTCCTATTTGACTTATCTACACAAGATTAAACTCTGTGCTAAAAAAGAAAAGTGCTCACAATTCATATTCACCTTCACTGAGGAGATTTCACCATAGACATATATTTTAAATCAACGTTTTCCAACTTTTTTTGTTATGTGGACCACTACTTGATAGCCATAAACTTTTGTGGAGTGTCACATAGCCAGGTGTTGGCAATTGTATGTATTATCACCAAGTTCAATAAAAATTAATATTTTTTAAGAAAAGAAGGTTCAGGTTTCATAACAACTGAGAATATCCTCCTCATGAGATTTCAGAATCTCCCAGGATTTGGCTACCTTTGAAATGTCAACTATTTTTAAATAAAATATTTTTATTTTCATTTCCATCCCATCAAACATCTGGTATATCTTTGCAAAATACCAGCATTATATTTTTATTTTGTCCTAATACTAAACATGCCAAGAAGTCTCATTTATTAAATATGTATGTGTTATTAAGAAGCTAGCCAGGAACCTGAATCCTAGTGAAATTTGAAGATCTTGAATAACTGAGTTATGTATATTGCAATGAAAACTGAGAAGTCAGACAAAATCTAGGAAAAATGGCTTCCAGCATTGTTTCCAATCTCTATGCCAGCAGAGGCCATAGAAGGTGTCTGCATTTTCTTCTGATAAAAAAGAAACATGTTGCATTTATGAGTGTCGTGCATTTCTGCTTTCTCATGTTGTATCTGTGAGACTACATACTTACCCACAGTAGGTACAGAATGAGCTGTGTATTGTCTACTCTGTTACATGACTGGGATTGGGGCTTAAAAGGGAGAAGCTGCCAACAGCATTCCATAGGTATATACCAAAAATATTTTTCCTCCATAACCATCAAACAGATCTGACTCATTTTCAAGTTATCTTTTGTTTGCTGGCTTCACTATCCTCACCAAATTTAATTGAAGTTTTTGTAGTGGTACCATGCTGATTGATAGAGACTTGACCCCTGTATTATTTTCTACTATCCCACTGGTTGGAAAGAATAAAAAAAAAAGGTGGGGGAAGGATAAATACAAATTCCAATTAATAGCTATAATTTTTTTTTTTGCAATCTTAGCATTTAAAGGCTATCTCAGCCATACAGAATGAAGATTCGGAAAATGCTTTTGTTTTCCTAAGCCGGCTATTACTTTATTCTATTATACTAGCCTCTAGAGATTTATTGTTCCACCTATAATCCTTGGCTGAATAATGAAAAACATAATCTAATGGAGGATTCTAATGGAAACATTGGTGAGCATCCTTGTGTTTGCACATTCCATGTAGGTCTAGAAAAATGGGAAAATTGCAGAAAATTACAGGAAGGAGAATATTTTATGATTTCTTTCCATTATTACCATATTGTTTTTTTCTGGAGAGCAAGACTTAGGCTCCAGTCTGTGAAGATAAAAACATGAATCCTATCCTAGAAGAGGAGACGATATAATTAATGCTGTTATTGTCTATGACTGTTGCCTAGAATACTGATTTATCCAGGAAGCAGTGACGTAGATTACTGTACAGAGTTTATGAACTAACAGTTTCTTTTATACATTCTGAGGATGTTAGTAACCAGTGTCCCATTTTTTTTCTTCAGAATTTCATGTTTCCTCACAAGGGAATTTTCCTTGGCTTTTGGAAGGAAAAAGGTTAATAAAATGTTATTGTCATGATAACGTTATGCCAAAAGTGTAGCAACATTCAGTAGCTTGACCTTTATATTGTAATAGGTTATAAACTGACAAGAACATTGAAGTAAATTTTCTTCTTCTTTTTAAAAAAGGTAGAATATCATCCTTTCCAAAGGCCTCAAGAGCTAGTAGAGTATTGCCAAAGCAGGAATATTGTTTTTGAAGGTTACTGTCCACTAGCTAAAGGTGAAGTTCTTAATCATCCCAACGTTGTCCAGCTTGCAAAGAAATATGGCAGAACTGCTGCACAAATCTGTATTCGTTGGAGCATCCAGGTAAGTCCTGAACTTTCAGCACCATTAAGCAACAATTTGTAAAATGTAACAGATGAATTTTCTGTCTAGCTACATAAAACGTCCCACGCAATAATGGGAAAAGTGCATGCTTATCTCTTGGTTTTCGATGTCCATTGAATAGCTGATTTCTGTTTAAGCAGTAACTGAAAGTAAAGCAATATACGAAACTGTTCAAAAGTAATTTGGTCTCAGTTCTGTTGTGGTAAATAATTATCAGGAGCAGGTCTGGAGTTTTTCAACTTCCGTTCTGCATTTCACTGAGTAATAATTGTAGTCTGGGATGCGGCCTTATTTTAAACTTGTTACTTTTGAGGCTGTCGTGAATCAGAACAGAGATGGTTGTAGTATGTTCTGATTGAAAGATGTATCTGTAGTATTATATACATTTTCAGGGAAATATGGTATTTATATATTGTAAATCTAGATGCAATAGCATCTAGAAATAAATGTGTTACCTGAATTAGTCTTAGGAGAAAGTAACTGAGATTGGTGAAACTTCACTGGGGCTTCCTTCCCATGTATTTAAATAATCAAGAAATCATAAAATGTCTCGGGTGGAGATAGGACTTAAGAAAGCTGAGGAAGAATTATTAATCAACCATGAAAATCTTGGCATACTACAGGGCCAGAAGAATATATAGTTTTGAACATACTCACACTCAAACATGCACACTTTCTCATTCTTACTTTCTCACACACAAAGTTGAATTAATTGCAAATAAACAGGGTGGTAACACTGTCTTAGCTATGATCTACCACAGTCAAAGATAAATCCATAAGGTCCTGTATGCCTTACAATAGATACCTCAACAGTCAAAGCACTAGTATTTTTTGAAGGTATATATCCATCTAAAAAAATTTACAGCATTAAATTTTGGTACCTCATACACACCAAAGTTACTATCTGTATCTTTCTCTTTGTGTATAAATACTTATAGCTTTATTCTTCCAAAGAGTGATGAGGTAATAAGTTTAAGTATTTGGCTCTATTTGTTGAAATTGCAGATGGGAACTCAAATAACAGAACATTTTCTATAAAATATGGGCCTGTGCATAAAAATGTAACCTGTCAAAGAAAGACATGTTTTGTGCTAAATGTGCACATAACCCATCATAAGGATATGATTTATTGAAAAATTGCACTAGTGTAAACTCCTAAATTATTTTTCTTTTTTAAAAAAAACATTAGATCTATGCTTCCATCAATAATGATTTTACTTTTTCTTCTAGAATGGCATAGTCACCATTCCAAAATCTACAAAACCAGAGAGAGTACAAGAAAACTGTCAGGTAAAAAGACCAAATCCCCTTCTGCCAAGTGTACTTACTTAGCATCAAATATTTAACATGTAGAACTATTTTTTTTCCTTTTTTGCTTACAGAATTTGAATAATACTATTTCTGTAAACCTAAATTTAGCCAAATTAATCCAAATTAAATTACCTTGTGAGATGATGTTTGGCATATGTAGTAAGAAATCATTTAATTAGAATAAGTAGCTGCTTGGCCTGAACAATGAAAAGTGACAGCATAATAGCAAAGCCTTAAAGAAGTGGATTAAAACTATGTGAGTTAGGCACCTCTGCAAAGAGAATCGAGTATGCAGTGTTAAGGTTTTAACCTTAAAGAGATTAAGTGACTTTTTAAAATACTCCTGAACAATTACGGCAAATCCCAAATAAAATAAATTTAAAACTGCAAGTGAGAAGCTTTTAAATAAAAATTGCAAAAAGATTTAGTTGTTTCTGGGGGGAACAGGAACACTTAGCTTGAATTGCTGAAAGAACAAACTGCAAAAGAAATTAAATGCTTACAACTGGGTTGCTACCGGTTTGGCCCGATTCTACCGAATAGGTAGTAACTGTAGGGACTGGTTCTCCGAACCAGTAGTAATGGCAGCCTGGCCACGCCCCCGAACCGGTTCCCCAGTTGCTGCTCACTCGGCCACCCGACGCATCCATTGGACGGTAAGCTGACCGGAGCTGGGAAGCAGCTGGCTGCAAAGAAGCCTCTCAGTTGCCTGGCCACAGGGTGCCAAAAAGTCCTTCAGCTGGTGAGAAGAAAGCTGTGCATGCGCGAAGATAGTGGCAGCGACTGGAGGTCTTTTTGGCGCCCTGTGCCAGCGGCTGGGTAGAAAAGAAGCCTCTTGGCTTCCAAGTTCAGCAGCAGGCTCAGTCCCTTCACAGGGTCGCATTCTCTGCGCCCGAGAAAGATCAAAAAGCGCGGAGCAGCCTTTAAAGACAAAGCCAGTGTAGCCGCCTAGACGAGGTAAAAGAAAATGAACCACTGAGGGAAGGAGCCCCCCTGAAGCTGCTGGCATTGCAGCTGCCCCCCTCCCCACAGCTTGGAGCTCCAAGCGGAAGAGGTCCTTGGCTGTTGTGAAGAAGCGGCAGCTCTGGGTGCACCATGCCTGCTTTGTTCTCTTTGAGAGCAGCTTTGCAAACAAGGTGAGTCTGCTGTCCTGAGCTGGCAGAGGCTGCGCAGGGCACGGCTGGGAGCATGCTAACCTTGCCCTCCCCAAGTGCCGGACTCTGCCGTTGCCATCGCCCCTGGCCTGCCCGGCTTGCCCCTGGCTGGCTCCACACTCATGCGGCCTAGCATGAGCATTATTTACATTATTTAGATTTAATGACAAGTTTAAGGGCTGAATTAATCCCATGTTGATACTAAATGCTATTATATGGATTTTTAAAATTCTTTTTTCCTTTTGTGTTGCTTTTATTTTATTATATAATTGCAATATATGTAATATATTTTAAATTTTATAATTGTGTAATTATATTACACAAATTATAATAATCATTTGTGGAGTTGTTTGCATTTCACTATTTAAAAAAAAATAACATAAAATATGAACCCAAAGTTAGGTCATTGTTGAAGTTAATGTCATTGTGAGTTTATGAAAAGTAATCTCTTACCAAGGTCTATCTGTGAGAAGAATGGATAGATTAATATCAACTGAAAGGGCTGAGATAAAGATCTATCCATGAAGTGATAGTTAGAAGTTTCTGGGGAGGGTAATTTCTTCATTTGTGGACATCACAGGTATAATTGATGAAAAATAAGTCACTATGATTTCCAGCAGATTTTGGATTAGAGATCTTGGAAGTCAACTACAGTTAGGTAGACAAGAAGCTAATGTTTAGAATATTTAAGATAGCATTTTTAAAAAGTCTTTCATATATAAGACTAGCTAGGGAGTCAATGCATCAATGAGTAGTAATGTCAGAAAAAGGATTTGTTTGGTCAAATGGTTAAAAAAAAAAGGCAGGGAGGATCAAATATCCACAGTGGTTTTTTTTTTTTTAATGAAGTGGTGTTGGCAAAATCCACCAAAAAGTATGACGAAGTCCTCTGCAATTACAAATTTAGGTTATTATCTAATTCCAAAAACTTCAAATCCTGATAGACAGTTGGAGTATTTATTTTTTTATTTTTATTTTACTTCAAATTTATATACCGCCCTTCTCCCTAGGGACTCAGGGCGGTGTACAGCCAAGTATTCTTGTTAAAAGAAAATGTAACTCCAGTAAATCCAAAGATTAGATCAGGAATCTGATGAAAAAATAAGAACTAATGAGAATACTACCATACATTAATTTGAAATCTATCCAAATAGCCATCTCCACCCATCCAAACCCCATAATTCTGAGATGGAGCAAGAAATGTGGAAAACAATCAAAAACTAGATAAACATCAGTAACTTTAGCATTCACACAGTTTCTGGAGAAATATATGTTGTTGGTTCTAAAAGAAGCAGCTTTTAAAAGGAGACAATTCTGCTTTCACTTCTGTAATTTCATGTAGCCATAAAACATGTCCCAGGAATTCTCCAGAAGATAATACTGCAGACCATATTTTGAGAAGAAATGGGCAAATATAAGGGGCAATACATAGTTCCATAGCTTAAGCAGATTTCCCCACACATGAACAGCATTTCTGTGTGTAATAAATGACTTCACTTTTGAATAGTCACAAGACTGACCAATCTTTGTTCAGCTACACAGGAACACTGGCTACAGTCCTATTACATTCAATAATTGTGTAAGTGGATAGCTGCCCAGAAAGTCTAAAAGCTTCATTGAACTTCTAAAGGAGGGAACATTCTTCCCAAATGAAGGGGTGTTAAAAACAAGTTAAAAGGAAAAATCAGAAGGATAAAGATTATTCAAGATTATTTAAAGCCAAAATAACGGAGTTCTAGAGAAAGCAAATAAGGACACTATAGGTAGGGAAATGGTTGAACAAAGAATACATGAGGTAATGAGCAACATCCGGTAGAGTATAAATATCATAAAACAAACATATTCCAATATACTGTTAGAAATATTAATATTATGAGATATTTCATGTCCATTTCTTAGTAAAAATCCACGTATTGGAAGAATAGCAGTAGCAAGAACAATTCCTTCAAAAATTAAACTGAACAATTTGGGTTTGCTGGGAGAAACAGATGGTGACACCTCATTTTAAGGAGCAATGGAGACCTAAAACGTGGAGAAGCTGCACTTGCTTTTTGGACTAGCCTCCTATTAGTACTCAGGCTAACTCTGACCTTGGCATCTTCCAAAAGCTGGGGAAAATAGAATTCTTTTGGAAGGCATTTAATTTTTGGATTTTTAAAAAGTTTATAGGGTTTTATTACTTTTATTGTGCCATGAATGTTATTTGCATGGACAGTAAGGCCACCAACAATCCTATGTAATTTTGACAAGGTATACATTTAATAGAAAAGGTAAAAATAAGATAAAAATAACCTGAATTGTCATTGGATAAGTGATGAAAATAGAGGCATCAAAACTGGCAAATGAATGCCAATTTGCAATATAGCAAAGACTACTGGACTGAACCATTGTGTGTTTCTTTACATATCACAAAAGCAAGACACTCCCTTGTGGAAGAATTGGTTTTATTACAGCCTTTCCCCAATTGTGCACCTCAGTGCAATTGTCATCATTCTCCACATAGTCAGTGTTGCTGGAGGATTGTAATTCAAAATGAGAAGGTTGTGGTAGTCTACTAATGTGTCTCCAGATTTAGAAGTAGGACAGAAAGGAGAGGAAAACCATAGGAAAACAAAGAATTCATTCACAGGTAGTCCTCAACTTACGATAATTCATTTAACTACGGTCTGGAATTGCAGCGGTCTTGGAAATGTTGCTTTACTGGCCATAAAGCACTTCTGGCCAGCACAAACCATTGCGTTGCCACTGCCACAGTCATGTGATTGTGATCTGGGTGCTTGGCAACTTGTTATGACTGGTTGCCAAACGCCCTACGATTATGTGATTGTCATTTGCAATATTCTCTGCCAGTTTTCCCAGAAAGTTAATGGGGAAACCAGCAGAACTCCCTCTTGTCTCTGTGGGCTGGCTGAAAGAGCTGCTTGCTGAGGGGAACTGAACTCTAGGCATGGAGGGGAACTGAATTCCTTTGGCAGGGTGCAAGAATGGGAGCTCAAATCCTGAGCTCAGTTCCTGCATCCCACAAAAAATTTCCTTCTGTGCACAGAGGGGAGCTGAAATTCTTTGGCAGGCAGCTCTTTCAGCCAGTCCACAGAGATGAGAAGGACCCAAAATCCAAGGAAAGAGTGAAGAGGCAGTGTGGTAATGTAAGAAGCATCCGGTACCTCAAGGCATGTAGCGCAGGCGCAGCCACATGTGAGTGTCTCTTTGCTGAAGGGCTGAAAATCCTGCTTGGATTTCAGCAGGGAGGATTTTCAGCTCTTGAGCAGAGCCTTCCAAGATCTTCCCCCATCCCACAAGGCACTCCACTCTCCTTATGTGGGACTCAGTTTGCTTAATGATCTGCAAGATCATTTAGCTGGAACCTAGAGTATCAGGATTGTATTGTTGAGCAAAGTGCTCATGTGGAGAGTCATGTGATGTCTCACATAAAAACTGCTTCACTGAATGCCTGAGATTCCAGTCCTAACAATGGTTGTAAGTTGAGTACTACTTGTACTGTGGAAAAGGTTTACCCCGAACCATTCTTTTATTATCTAAGCAAAAAAGAAAAGATTGAAATAATATGGACTATGAATTACAAATAAGAACTACTTAAACTGGTTTTTATATAAATGGTTAAAGAGACAGAATTGTGGGAAATAATTGGAAAATTGTTTTGTAGTTTTATTTGAATTAAGAACTATGTTTCAGTGTTAAACTGCTATATTTTTGGAATTAGAGATAGGATTTAAATTTGGTGAAGGAAATAAAAATTTAATGAGCATTTTATGAAGTAATAATAAATGTGGGGAAGTTTTAGAAAGGGAAATAAGATTTTGAAATATAAACATGTTTGACTTGTATTGTTGAGGATTTAGGCTAAGAATTATGAAATGTATTATGAGGTATTAATTGAATTGAGATTTAAAGTGGATTAATAGAAGGGTAATTGTTTTGATTAAATAAATAAGAGTAAACTTTTTATAAGATGGTAATAGGGGAGATAGA